CCGGCGCCTGCACCTTCGACGCGCGGCACCTCTACACCAAGAAGGTCTGCGGCCGCGGTTCCATCCGCGTCGTCTCCTACAACATCCTGGCCGATACCTACGCCCAGACGGAGTTCTCCCGCACCGTGCTCTACCCTTACTGCGCTCCCTACGCGCTGGAGATCGACTACCGCCAGAACCTGCTCAAGAAGGAGCTGACGGGCTACAGCGCCGACCTCATCTGCTTGCAAGAGGTGGACAAATCCGTCTTCGTGGACAGCTTGGCCCCGGCCCTGGATGCCTTTGGACTCGAAGGGCTGTTCAAGATCAAGGAGAAGCAGCACGAAGGTCTGGCCACCTTCTACCGCAGGGACAAGTTCAGCCTCCTTAGCCAGCACGACATCGTGTTCAGCGAGGCCCTGCTCTCCGAGCCACTGCACAAGGAGCTGTGTGAGCAGCTGGCCAAGTACCCCTTGGTGCAGGAGAAGGTGCTGCAGAGGTCATCTGTGCTACAGGTATCAGCTTTGACATGCCTTCTTCCTCCTCCCTCCCTTCCTCGTCCCTCTGTCTCCAGGCAGGTGCAGCTAGGCCAGGTTTGTTGAGCTGCAAACCGTGGGAGAAAGGAGATGAGGGATTAACAGTCTGAAACATGGATCACTGGTATGTTCTCTGTTAGCTGTGGTAACGGATAGAGCAGAAGAGCAATTTAGGAACAAGAACAAAACACTGAGACTTTACTGAGCTGGATATATGGAATTACCAAAATTTGGTTAAAAAGGGCAGTATTATTTTTTTGGTTTTAAAATGAAAGTTGTTGAGATTCTGGGCCAAACAGCAATTCCTGGTTGGTGGTATTGGCTACCAGGTTTTTTACTGCTTACTCTTATATGTCAGAATATGTATTTTATGACATTTGAATCTTATAAATCAGTTTTAAACAAGTTAATTGAGCTTTCTTTAATAATGCACTTCAGAAAGTGACAGTAGGAAGAGAAATAAAGTTGGATGTATTTGTCACCTTGCTGATGCCAGTGGGCCTGCCAGCAGAACTGTTGTACAAGTCCGAGTGTATAAGATAGAGGTCTGTGCCAGGAATTTCAGAAACACTGCTAAAAGTTTCCTACTCCAGGACTGAGTGGGACTAACAGGATTTCCCTCAGAACTGAAATAGCTTCTAAATTTATGTTCACTTTAGCAAGTATATGATTTGCTTGCTAAATCCAGAGATTTGGCTCCAGTTCTGTCACAGAGAGAATGGTGAGTAGAAAATAGAAGTAGTTAAGAAGTAGTTAAAGCATTAACAACATCTTGTGAAAAAACATGGAATGGATTGAAGGGAAAAATATGGCCAAACCAGACACTTAGGGTCAAAAGAACATTTGTCAAATACCTGGATGTAGTGGTAATATTTTGGCTGATTCTCAGGCCTTATATGACTTAGGATAAGTACAGCTCCCAAGTTGAATTTCTTTGTTACAAGCATCAGATCCTTTGAACTGAACTGCCAGAAAGGTATAAGCTCACTGTTGCACTTGTAACCTGTCTATTTAAGACTTAACCAAAGCTGCTTTTTCTCTTGAAGGTTTCGGTTCTTCAGTCTACAACTGATCCTTCCAGGAAGCTTTGTGTAGCAAATACCCACCTATACTGGCACCCCAAAGGTAATTTTGGCATGTTACTGTATGTGGCATAACTGGGTTTGTAAAGGTTTTTGCCCTTTCTCAGGAGAATAGATTTGCCACCTCTCTCTTTCAACTCTAACCGTTTCTTCTGGAACTCAGGGTCTACTGCCTGACTTCTTACGTAGATGAACGAAGCCAGGCTCTTAGGTCTGTCCATCCACTCTAGCAAAATGCTAGAGTACCTGGGAGTCAGGAGAATACAGCTGAGAGTAAGGCAAGTCACGTTACACACGAGTCACCCAAAGAGCAGACCATAAAATAGAGAGCGCTTTGTGTATACTTGAGGCTTCCCAGTCCTGTTGTACCTGAAGGAGTTATACTGGGGGACTGCCAGAAGGGCAACCAGATTGGGCTGTGGAAGCTTTTAGAAGACAGTCTCCTCTTCTGAGTTAGTTTTCTTTTGGGAACGTTATTAGGATAATTGTCATGAAATGGAAAGCTGCTGTAATATGGGTGTTTAAGGTTCAGAGTTCTTCCATGTCTGAGTTTAAATTAATTGTCTGTCTCTCAAAAACTTTCATAGTCACAAACTTCAAAGGCTTCTTTATTTATGAAAACTATTTTGAAATGTAAGATTGCTGTTTTGGAGCTATAACTGATAACTTAAATAGGCTACTTGGAAAATTCCTCTAATGCTTTTGTGGAGTATTGAAGTAATAAATTTATATATCCTTAGGTGGGAACATCAGGCTCATCCAAATTGCTGTAGCCTTGTCTCACATCAAGCACGTTGCATGTGACTTGTATCCCAGTGTGCCAGTCATATTCTGTGGAGATTTTAATAGCACACCATCATCAGGCACTTACAGCTTCATCAGCAGCGGTGGCATTGCGGAGGATCACGAGGACTGGGTCTCCAATGGGGAAGAAGAAAGGTGCAGTATGTCTCTGAGCCATCCTTTCAAACTGCTGAGTGCTTGTGGAGAACCTGCTTACACAAACTATGTTGGTGGGTTTCATGGATGTCTGGACTACATTTTCATTGACAGAAATGCTCTAGAGGTTGAACAAGTCATTCCATTGCCAAGTCATGAAGAAGTAACAACCCATCAGGCTTTGCCAAGTGTCTCACATCCTTCTGATCATATAGCACTAATATGTGACTTAAAGTGGAAATAGAGCAGCTGTGGCATGGTGCTTTGGGGAGTTTTCAAGCAAGAAGTTTCATGTACTGCTGGGAAACTAAGGTTGCTCCCTGACCTGTATGCTACTGAAAGGAAGGCCAGAACTCTTACTGAGAAGTTCATGTGTTTAATGGTTCTACTGAAGATTATCACATGAATCAGGATATTTGCATGACTATTTTCCCCTTTTTTATATGCTAAAAGGAAAACATCTATTTAAGACAGGGTTTTGAAAATTGGACTATCATATACCTTTTTATTGGTGTTTTTAAAGGATTAAGAATTATTTTGTTAAAAAATACGAATTAAATGCAAGACAATGTACAAATTGGACCCTGCTTAATTCAAAACCAACCACAGAACCTAAACCTAAGTGGATTTAGTTGATTCAACCTCACTCTAATTAACATCATGACAATGTTTTAAAAATCAGTTCAGAAATTGTCTTGTTCACTTGCCAATACCATATCCCAGCTTAATAAGTGGCATGAACAATGTGCTTGTACCTACCACCTTCTGTAAAGATACTCTCAATTATCAGTGATTAGACTTTCTATTGAGTTCAAGGTTATAACTGATTTGAAGCAGTTTGCTTGCCCATGTAACGTGGGCAATGAGGGAAACATTGGCACCTGGTGAAACTGGACTGCACGCGTAGGTAGCATCTGCTTGGAACACCTGTTCCTTCTGTTGTTTGGAGTCATCGATAATAAAAGAAATGTTGGAGTTTAAGACAGCTTTGGGTGGGAGGGAGTTGGTATAGGTATCGTCTGTTTCAGGTGGGGGGAGGTATGGAAGAGTTGGTGTGGTGCATTACCTTTCTGTGCCTAAATCTTTCAAAAGAAACACAAGTGACTTGCAGATCCTTATCACAATGGTTCTGTTTTGTTCCTCTCTTGCATACAAAGACAACCTGAATTTTTAAGTGTTTACCTGATTTTTTTCCCTTCTAGAAATAGCCTAGTGTTCCCTATTGTGTAGGAGAATTTGGATGTGGGGAAAGGTATTTTATCCATACCTTTATTGAATGTGTTGCAAGGGGTTCAGTCATTTGACAAGCTTCTTGCCCTGCATCATTAGTCCATATGAAACAAAGAGGATTTGGAAATAATTTCAGAGGATTTTCTAGTTACTGGTGTCTATCTGCCTCTTTCACCTAATAAAGTTCCATTCTCAATGGTCTGTCACTGTTGTCAGTTGATTTTTTTTTTTTCTAGTTACTGGTGTCTTTCATGGCAAAACAAGTCTGCCCAGGTTGATAAAAGCTGTATACCCTATAGGGCTGTAGGATATCCTGAGTTGGCAGGGCCTCACAAGAATAATTGAGTTCAACTCCTAGCCCTGCACAGGACAGCCCCAAGAACACACCATGTGCCTGAGAGCATTGTCCAAAAGCTTCTTAACTCTGACAGGCCCAACTTACACAGCTGCTCACCTCAGCTGCATTTTTGGTGGACTATAGGTGGTAGCTGGGATTCACTCAACTGTGCATATACTACTAAAACCAGTCACTTTCAAGTAGCATATTGCTGAGGGTTGTTGGTGCTGTGTCTTCCCATAGCACTTGCTATGCTGTGAAGGGCAGTGCTTTGCAGAAGGTTGTAACTACCTGCTCTTCAGTCTTTTCTGTGTTATTTCCAATAAAATTACTACTGGTTTTTGCTAGTGGAGTATCTGGGCATCTAACATGTTGATGCTGATGAAAACTGCACTAGTAAAGCCACAGGCAGGTTTAGCTTCTGAGGTCGCACAAGGCTAAAAAGATGCAGGCCAATAAATCTCCAAACATGTCTTAAACAACATGACATGGGAAGACAAATCTCATGAACCATCCAGTATTTTGTTACCAATTCTGCACTCAGGTAAAGGGAAATGGACAAATTCCACTCATGTGTAAGTCTGTCAAAGCCTGTGTCACTGCAGAGCTCCTGTAAATGTCCTCTGCAAGTAGCTTTCTTCAGCAACACAAGCAGTTAACCTTCCCTCTTCCCATCTCGAACTTTCTTATCTGATCCTGCTCTGCCACCTGTGAATTCTGGCTCCTTGTTCCTGCTCATGCTACAGCAAACTAAAATAGGGAAGGGATGCAGCTAAAAATACAGGGCCTTTAGTTCTCTTGAATGTATTATCATTTTAGTGGGTCATTATATCCTGAGCTGATTCACCCTAGAGCCTTTTGTGCCCAAAACAAGGTACAGGCTCAGAGGTGGGAATAGGTGGTCAAGGCCTGAAGCAAGACTTCCAACTGCTTAAGCAGCTCCACCACAAAACACAAGACCCTGATCAAAGGGCTTTCATTTATTCCAACAGCTTTGCCAGGCTTATATATAAACCCTCAGATTTCTGGTTTGGCTAAGTCAGCGCTGTAGCTAAACCAAATGGTAGCTAAGGGCCTTTGGATAAAAAAGGGAAGCAAAATGGAATGTGGCAATAAAAGTGGCAATGAATGTTGGATCATTGCAACAGAGTGATGGACAGTACATTCACCCTGTGAAATCAGACCTTAAATGCCCTGGGTGGGTCCTGGGTCAGTCACTGTTCTTTTGGAAGTCTAATTAGGAAGTAAAGTGTAATTCAGTCCTGCATAAGAGTTGAAGGTGATGTCTGTACTCTTCCAGACTACAAAGCTGATAATAAAAATATCAGTGATTCATAACTAAACTTCAAGACAGAGGAGTGAGGAGAAAATCTTGCAAAAGAATGGAGGCTGTAAACCTTCTGTTCGGGCAAAAAATATTTACTAGTTTAGTAAATGAGGGAAAGCTTACACATGGAGACATAACATTTGCAAGTATATGGCATCTTAAAGGGCAGAAGAATTAATTGGAAGATCTGTTAAAGAAGAAAATTAAGTATGAACACCAGAGAAAACACTGACAATGCACTACAGCTGAGTCAGAGGCCTTCTACAATTTGCCAGCTTGGAAAAAAACTGAGAGGAAAAATAAACTCCAGTGAGTAATGCAGGATTGTAGGCTGGCAAGAGAAATGTCTCAGCCACTTAGAATAGTAAGGTTGCAATTGTGAAGTTTGGAAGTTAAATTATATTACATAGGCTAACTGAGCTCCCCTTATAACTTGGAAAAAACATTTTTTTCCTCCTTTCTAAGTACCTATCCATTACAACTGGGTTACTTGGCCTTTCCCAAACCCAACAGTAAAAATCTGTAACTTGTCCTTGGAACCAGAAGATGGAGCTGCTCAGGGTACAGACTTGGCCTGGTACTCTACCTCCTTTCTGAGAAACAGCAGGTCCTTCCTGCTCCCTGTGCTTCTGTGCCTTGGGCTGCTGCCTCTGTCTCCTTGCAGACCACAGAGAGGGAGCACACAGGCAAAGTGGAATCTGCAGGAAGCAAGTGGTGAGGAACAAACACAGTACTGGAACAGGCCTAGTAAAATTTGATGGCCCTTGCACATGGCAGATAATCCTTTACCATCTTCAGGAGGAAATTCAGCCGCATGTACTGGAGATGCTCCAGTCCCAGTATCCCCTGTCTGATTTGCAGCAGCAAACTCTGACTGCCAATAGCAGCAACGTGTCAGGAACCAGTCAGACATTCCTGGAGTGAGAATGCAGTGCCAGAGTCTAGGTTAGGAAAATCACAATTCAAAAGAATCGTGAGCTTTTTCAGGGTGAAAGGCAACCCTTAGGCACACCTTGGGCCCAGAGCCCCACGCTGTGCTCACATCTGTGTAAGGTAACATATGGTGCTTCCTACTGCACATATGGTGATTTTAACTCCCATTTTAGCTCCCCCTACACATCTGGACCTTGCCCAGCAATTAATTCTTCCTCTCTACATCACTTCCAGATCCCAGATTTGTAGCAGCCCCATCGAGCTTTTGTCCATTTTATTTCATAAAGCTAAACTCACCTGTATTTGTTCCTCTTCCAGCAATTGGAATGCTCATGTCCTTCACATCAAAAAATAGGGTAGGATTCTCTTCTCAGTTTTATAAATGTGAGGGTTTTGTTTCTGTTTGTTGAGGTTTTTTACTCACCCAGACCAGTCATTAAGGAAAAAGGAAAATCTCACTTTGCTTTCTACTCAAATTTCCCAACTCTGATACATTAAACTCAAGAGAGACAGCACTGCTCCTGCCTTTCAGGAAGGAGGAGTTTCTTCTTTCACACTGACTCCTTGCAGCGACACATCCTCAAGGGGAAGGAAGCTCCTAAGATTCGTAAATGCTCATGATCAAAAGAAATGACAGTCAGAGGTCCACAAACAACCCTCAAGTTTTACTAGTAAATTACACACTTGCCATGGAAACTGGTATTTAGCACATGGCAGTGGGTTTTGGATAAAGGGGTAGGGTGAAAGAGAAGAGAGAAATTGAGATGCATTTCAGAAAGGCAGAAAGGAAAAGACAAAAAGAAAAATGGTAAGAGAAAGAAAAGAAGAGGAAAAGAGAGACAAAAAAAGAGATCACCAGTTCTGATTCCAGCACTGATCTGACTGATGGGATGTCGATCCTGGCTTCAGCCCCGACCCAGCTGATAAGGAGCCATGCCATGGGCTTGGGGGAGTACCATTTTATGGATAGGTTTCTCTGCTCTATCTCTGCATGGCCTCCCTTCTCCAGACAAATCTTGTTCTTTCTCATGGTGTATTAATACCAACAGTCCTTGTTTGGCTCCACAGTCATCTGGTTATTGGTGTTTGAGACATACACATCAGCCCCTTATCCTGTGGGAACTGAGAGCTCAAAAGGGTCTCAAAACAATAGGTTTCAGTCAATAACAAAATATTAATCCATTTGTGTTGTTATGCAGGCAAGGACAATAGGTTTCCAAGGCTGTTTGTTTAAAACCAGGAGTTCATTAGACAGTGCTAGTTCCTGGGAACAGACAGTGTTCTAATAAGCTCAAGAAGGGCCTAGTCCAGGTGCAGCTTGTCAAGGCTGAGGCCTAATGAGCATTTCCTAGATCACAGTGCAGCCTGGAGGGGGGTGGGGATGCACCACTACAATCCACCCTGCGACTACAGTCATTTTTAATGGGGCCTCCACACTCCACTCCATGGCTCAAACATCAACAAGGACTTGGTGATTCCTGGAAAAG